GCGGCATGGTCGCTTGCCATCAATTGGCTGCCAAGTGGCAGCCCAACAGTGGTCCACGGGAGATTTTTTTTTTTTTCCACCTATTTATTCTTCTGCTTTTCTTCTATTTCTTCTTCTTCACCTTCGCTGTTTTTTTTTTTCCATTTTGTTGTTCTTATTCTTTGTTACCGCTTTTTTTTTTTCCCCTCATTTTCTTTGGGTGGGTTATTATTTTTTCTAACACCGTTCTAAAAACGAAATGTTAACCCCCCCCTTAGTTCATTTTTTCAATCCTTTTTTGGCGGGAGGGCCAGGGGGGCTACTTGCGCAGGTGGTGCACGTGCCCCGATCTCCAGGGTGTGGCTCCGCCTGCCCGTGGTGTGGCCGCGTGGCCTGGGCTGTGTGGTCGCAGCCGGCCTCGGCTGCCTCCTAGGCCGCGGGATCCGAGTCCGAGGGTGCCGCATAGGTGGAAGCCATGGAGGAGGACAAAACCCTCATGGCAACGAAGACCCTTCGCTGTCCCATACCTTCACCCTAACTTCGTTCTCATCTCATAACATAACATAACATAACAGAGTGCCTGCGTGCTGCTCACCCACGCATCCACTGCCGGCTGCACCAAACACTTCCTCCCCAAAGCCTGGCAGACATTCGTGCCCCACTCCCGCCCCGTCCCTTAAGCACCCTCACCACCCTATCCTTCCCCCACTCCCCCTCCTCTTCCCCCCACCCGGCCCCTCTTCGCTCCCTCCATCACCCGGAGGAACTGGGAGACCCGGCGAGCGGATGAAGCAGCAACCACACGGGAACGCTGACCGATTGCAGATATAATCCAAAGAGTAAAACTGCTACAGGGAGGAAGATCGATAACGCATCTGGCAGGCACACTACACAAGTCTTACCATTGCCTAAAGACGCAGAGGTGACGGAATGCAATGGTTCGCCCTGTTGAGGATATAAAGACAACAGCAGACAACAGCAGCCACGTGGTTGTGTGTGTGTGCGGGCGGGTGGGTGGGTGTGTGCGGGTGGATGGGTGGGTCGGTGTGTGTGGGTGGGTGGGTGGGTGCGAGCGGCCAGGTGGGTGTGTGAGTGGGTGGGTGCGGGCGGGGGAGTGGGCGTGTGGGTGCGGGTGGGTGGGAGGGTGGGTGCATGTGCGCGCACGGGTGGGCGCCCGCAAATTGACAACACAGGGTCCAGGCAGGGGAACGATGGTGTGCTGGTCTCGACTGCACGGCGAGGCCTGTCACCTCCCTGAAAGTTACAATGCACCACAGTTCTAGCACTATAGACCAGCACTGCTTGCCCCATAACAACTGAGATCACAACATAGTGCATGCCCTAACGATTGAATGTCTAGGGGCGCTGGACCTGCTTCATGGTTAAATGTCAAGGGACACTGGACCCGATTTCCAGCAGGTGCATCTCCCCTCCAATGGAACGGAGCCATGCAAATGGCGGGGTCGGTAGAGGGGGTGTCTGCTCTTACCAGCACCCCGAACACTCCACGCAGCCGATGTTTCACCAAAAAAAAAAAAAGAAAAAAAAAAAGAGAACTGTCATTGGACTTGACTCACTCAAACGCATCCGAACGAGTCGAGGCCAATGACAGTTCTCAATGCGTTGGTCTTTTAGAGCCCGCACATACATCCACGTTGGTTGATAGACTTGTGTATTTACACACATCTCCACACACACACACACAAACACACACGGCATGAATAACGAATGCATAGGGAATGGGGACAACAGATAGATAAGAAGCGCTCGTTGTGTTTAGCACCTCATGAGAAGTGAAGTCGTGGGACTGTAGAGGAGGGGGGAAAATAACAGATGGGCTATCTCAACGTAGATTGTCAACTCTGAAGCTTTTTATCAATAAATGCTAGCCGTGTTTTGTTAGAGCCCGGCCGGATCTGAAGCTTATCAGGAACTGCTAGAGAAGACTGAAACAAAAAATCATCATGGATTACCTGCCCGGCACGCGTAATAAACCCACATTGCCTGCAGGTAGCACACTGATGAACCAACCCTGAGCCATGAGCCGTGAGCCCTGAGCCCTGAACACTCGTTTGCCCTGAAGGCCTCAGAACAAATGACATGGACCTGAGTATAAGGTACAAAAACAGTGTTGAAGACGCGCTGTTACCAATTCACACCCTGCAGCCTTGACCGTTTATGATGCCTCGAAATCTCCACATCCAATGGAGCATAAAATCTACCCGGGATCCAGATAGACGGGGACCATTGGGTGTGTTTTCATGGTGGACATAGGAACCCCGCCCCCCCCCTCCCCTTCCCTCCCCCACACCCGGCAGCCTTGACCATTTATGATGCCTTGGAAACTCTCCAGAACCAATGGAGCATAAAATCTACCTGGGATCCAGATAGACAGCGACCATTGGGTGTGTTTTCCTGGTGGACATAACAAAACACCCACCACCCCTCCCCCCTCCCCTTCCCTCCCCCAACCCTCACATCTCCGTTTTGTGTCAACTGGCAAGACCACCTCTTTACTCCTCCCTCTCCACCCACAGGCAGACAACCTTTGCAAAGAGTGAGCGACAAAAGCAGCACGGCCACACTGCCAAGTCAGGTGTCGCTTCCGACTTACAAATGCAACAAATATACTCCATCTTGCCCCCACAGACCTCTTTGACCACCACTACACAGCACCGATTCAGGGTTGTTCCGCTTTGATATACAAACCATGCCATTCTGCTGACCCTGAATGCTCTCCAAGCGTTGCGAGTTTCGGTTATCTGCAAAAGCTGAACATCCTCTGAATTGCGTGCTTCACCCCACCGCCACAAATATCAACCACGCGGTCTCCAACAATGAGCCAATACACCAAGTTCCCTATAACACCCATGCGGAACTCACAGGAACACCCCTCCGGCACGGCACCCATGAAATACAACCTCAACCTCGCACCCCCCTGAAGACTTCAGTCCAAATGACACACGCAACACTCGTCTAACCCACCCGGCTCACACTTGCTCTTGAACCAGTATGAAATAGTCAGTCAGTCTAAAAGCCTCCTCTTTACAAGTGCACACAGAGAGGAACACAGAAGCTCCAAATTCTCTGCCTTTTGTACATATAAGAATACAAAACCATGATACAAACAATGGAACTGGGAAAAAATTCCCACCAACAACGGACCTGGGAAAAAGTCCCTCAAACCATTCTCCAGCGCACCAACCCATCCACATCACAACAATGCTAACCCACGTAGTTTACCCATCTGGGGGATCAAAACGCTGCTTACCTAGATTCCAATGCCAAAGCACACCATGCGATGTTTTTTGCAAGCTCTTCCAAGGTGCTGCCTTCTCAATCCCGTTCCCATGATTGCCAGCCTGCCTTCTAAGGTGCTGCCTTCTCAATCCTCTTCCCATCACCGCCAGCCTGCCCTTTAAGGTGCTGCTGTCATCTCAATCCTGTTCTCACAACTGCCAGCCCTGTTTCCTATGCAGTACACACTCCACTCATGACCCGTTCCCGTCAACTTGCCATTCTCCCTGCACTACAACAATACATGAATAGGCCCAAAAGGGTAGAGCATGCATGGTCCCCTTGAAATTTCAGATTTCCATGCGCCACCCTTACAGTCCATTCTCCTTTACCTGCACCACAAAAATACACGAACAGGAACTTACTGCCGGGCCCAAGAGGGTTGTTATAGCTTGCACACTCTCCTTAATATTTCAGATCTGTTTAGCAGATCTGCATGCGCTATACCCTTATGGTCCATTCTCATTTATGTACTGCCTCAACTTTCAGTTCGATGACGCGAGCGCTTGTAACAACCAATCCTCCTCCACCGCTTCAATTCGCCACTCGGAGTTTCCGCCGATTCTTCCGTTTCCGATAGGTGCTGAACTTTTTCGTTTCAAGTTCGGGAACACTCCCAGCTGATCCATGTTTCCTTTCACTGCAAGTGTTGGCAAGTGGAGGGAGAGCGGCAGCGCGCCGCAACCTTCACTGGATGTTCTGTCTCCTGAGGGACAGACTGCTTCAACCAGCCATCACCATGGCCAGTCACATCCTGGCGAGAAAAAGATGCCAAGTTCGTTTCAGTCCACCTTTCAGCAAACCCCAACTCAAGCAAGAGGGCTCGCATTATGTGAATTTTTTACGATGGCCTGCAAACCTCGCTGCATGACCCCCCTTATACTTCCTGTTCATTCCTCGGTCCTTTCCTACCCCTTTCGGACCCTTCCCCTCCTTCGGGACCCTGGGCTCTTCTCGCAAAGCCTTCCTCTGTTTCTTTGTTAGCCTCTGGGCATCCCCTGTTGGGTCACTCGTCATCTTCACTTCGTTACTTGCTTGTTTCCGCTTTCGCTTGTTTTTCTTCTTGCCCACTTGCTCCTCACGTTGTCTCCCTTTCATGCTCTCGCCGGCTATGGCATCAAGCACATTGCTGAAATCACCACATATGCCGCCAGTTGTTGGGTTTGGAATAAATGGGGGTAAAGACTGTTCTGGCATTTTCCTGTCTGATAGTATCTTGTCCACTCGAATAATTCGACCCAACATCCCACCACCACACTCTTCATCATGAGCCGCAGTCAGTTTCGTGTACGCATGGATAAATGCAGCCCTCACCTGGAGCATACAGGAACACAAGGCACACAATGCACGTGTCAATCCAAAAGGTTAGCATGCCATTCGTCATCTTTGTCATCCTCTTTTGAGACTCCAGTACCTTTCTCATATATCGGCCGCGGGCGCTGCGCGCCAAGTGCGGCTGATAATTGGAGGCCGAATCGGGCCTCCGTGTTAAACCACCGTGGCCCAGATCCTAAGCGGGAAAAGGTACTGGTGGTTTAACAGCTAGAACCTCACTAGTGCGTCCTTTCGTTCCTCAACCTTTTTGGACCATTTCTCGACTCATCCAGGCCTCGTGCAGAGGCCACACTAATCTTCTCCACCAGTTTGCCAACTTGCTCCCTCGTAGTTCTCACGTCTACATGCACAACAAACATGCTTCCAACCCCCTTTCCTCTAGCCAACCCCACCCTCTGGTATCTACTGGAGCTATCTTCACTGGAGTGGATCCCCGAGGGCAGATTGGCAGACAAAGAAGAGTACCTCCTGCGGCAGCTTTTATTTTGTTGTTCTTGTCGAGTAACCAACTGCAGGCTACTGGTGGGAGTGGTGTAAGCATATTCCGCTAGTAGGCCTATCTCTGGTCGCTCCGGTCTATAGGTGGGGAGTGGCACCTGCTGGAACCAGGGTCCTGCATCCCAGATGCATCAGACATTGCTGATTAAGCCAGTTTTACCAGGGCCACTACCGAGGCGCCAGACTGTGCCAATTGCCCTGTTCCATCCTCCCGGCCGCTGACCCAGGGCGGCTGTTGATGTCCTTGTATTACTCGTGATATGATCCCACCCATCCTCTTCTTTTGACCGGATTGCTGGCTTTTGCTTGGAGGAGTGAGAGGGACTTGGTAGTACTGGGGAAGCGAGGGGGAGGGGGCGGTTTTGGGCCGGGGCTTGGGTGGTGGGGGGGGGGTTGTCAGTGACGGGTCCCTTGGGAGGGAAGGTGTCAGGAAGGGTGTGTATGCCTGGCCTCTGCTGCATAGGTTAGTGGCACTGTCAGTAACTTAGCGCTAATTGGTTATAACCTAACACGGGTGTGTTGAAGCAGTCTACCGGTCTCAGGTGTGACTGTTTCCATGAGCCAGCCAATTCATAAAGTATGTCACCCAGCTTTCTACGAGGATGTAACCAGAGATCCACGAGTTCTTTAATCGCCTGCTGTCTCGCAGCTTGGACTGAGATGGAGGATAGCTGTTCCTTTAGTTTTCGTCCAGCTCTAACGATGTTGGCCCTTCTGGTCTCCACAATCTCCACCTTGGCTTGGGGGAAGGCAAAGGAGAATTCTTTCCTTTCAGCGGAGCATCTAATCCTCCATGTCTCATTAGGATGGCCAGTCTGGTCTGTTTGAACAGGTTGTATAGAAAGGTTGACCATTCTGGGGGGAAGTCTTTATGTTTCCCCAGTAGGATCAGTCCGATGTTCCAATGAAAGGGAGTGCCTGTCAAATTGTTCCATAGCGCATCCCACCATCTCCACACCTGTACTTCCATGGGGCATGCCAGCACGCAGTGCTCCAGGTCTCCTCTCCTGCGTTGCAAGGATAGTCCGCAGCATGAACACACCTCCTCTCCTGCCATGCAAGGATAGTCCACAGCATGAACACGCAGCAGACAGTATGCCCTTCTGTTCCAGGTTGGATCGGTCTGTTATCCATTCCGGCGTTGGGATGGACCTGTGGATAATTGCAACTGGACAGCCCGGTGAGATGTGGGCTTGATGCGTGCATATGTTATCCACGAGATATCAGCAGAAGACCCTGTTTTGTACAATTGTGGTGGATGGGTGGAGTTTGTGGGCCTGGTTATATCCTGCTTTTACTATGTATTGCCAGATCAGCGTAGGTTTATGGTTGGGCCACTTGAGGTCGAAGTGAAGGCCACAGACCGGGATAGACTACTCTGATCCTTGTATTCAAGTGGTAATTTGCAGTCCAGGTCCAACCCCGCTTAACCATTGACCACCTTGGTTACTTTGTATATGGTCATAGGGAGGTGGTGAGTATCTTCCCTAATGACCCAATCTTCCTTCCCGATTTGCGGGCTTCTCTCAAGGGCAGCCACCTGTTGTAAGGGAACTGCTTGTTGTAGTGTCTACTTTGGATTGTATGTCCCGTATATCTTTGAGTAGCAGGTGAACAGGTCCCCAACGGAAAGGAGTCCCTTTAGCACCCACCAGGGCGAGCGGGAATTCACGTCGATGGGGAAAGGTTTGCCATCAGCAGCCAGGATGTGCAGGTTCCCAAATAGGTCAGCAGCCGGGATGTGCAGGTTCCCAAATAGGTCAGCAGCCAGGATGTGCAGGTTCCCAAATAGGGGTTGGTGCCACATTTCATGCCACCTGGCCGGGGGGGGGCTTCAGTGTCGGGCCCATCTCTTGCCGCAGACACAGTGTCGGCGCAGAATATTTATCCACAGGGTATCGCACTTGAGATCCCACATGGTCACATTTCGAGTTGTTCTGTCTGCACTTGCTCTTGGGGGGCCGGGTATGGACCAGGATGGGTTTGTTAGCCATTCCAACAGGTGCAAAGTCCGCTCCGATGGTGGGCGGGGGGGGGGGCGATTAGCAATCTGGATATACGCCAGCGGTACCCATGGGATGTCCCCCGCCAGCAGCATTCATATGATCACTTTGGAATCAGCGCAAGCTTCGCTCTCATCTCCCGGATCCAAAATGCCCAGGCCCCCAACTTTTTTTGGCTGAGTTACGTATTTCCAGCCCACTCTCTTGACACAGTTTTTTTGTTCACGGGCATGTTTCCATAGATCAGCTGCTGCTGCTGCCCTCAGTGCTGCCAGATGTTCTTTCGGTATTGCTAGGATTTTACCCCTCCGCATACCTGCATAAGGCCCCTGGAACAGACGCGTGCCCACCCTGAATCCCAATCAACCCCGAACCGTCAATTCTGAAAATCTTCGTGGGCAGACAGTTGCCATGCACCAATTGGCTACATCCGCCTTGCTCGAGAGAATCTGAAATATTTGTGAGCCTTCCAGGCTCTTCCAGCAACGTTGTGATAGCAGGAACACCGCAAGTCTGTGCCTGGGTGGTTGGGCATGCCTAACCAAATCTTTCCCAGCCCACTGTCTGAATGGGCCTGGGCGCAGACACTTTGGCCAGATCGGAAGCTACTGGAAATGTAGGCACCCTAGGCCAGGCAGCAAGCTGGCCAGGCCACTTCGATATATGCCTGCGCTCGCGCCTGCCTGGTACCGCCAGGTGTGCTATCGCGAGCGCGGTCACGTGTGGAGCAGGGCGCTGTATCAAGGCAGCGCCATACCCCAGCCCCCATAGCTGGGCTTGGGCTTGGTTGTAGCCAGCGGAGGTGGTGGTGGTCTTCGTGTTGAAGGGAGGCGTGGGTGACGAAAACGAGAATGAGCAGAAGGGGGAGATGAGGATGATGATTGAGGGCACGTACCTGATCTTGGCGATGGTCTACATGGCCTACTTTGGTTGCTGCTGCTGACGTCAACGGGTTGCTTGTCAGTTCGTAGTTCAGGATAGTAGCTGCGCGACTGTAGTCTGCACGCTGAGCACCAGTAGGTAGAAGAGATTCGAGAGTGTGCTTTCATTGGCATTTTAGATCGATCCTTCGGTTCTCCTTTGGTGTAATATCAGTGCATTCCTGCTTTCCGGACAGCATTCAACTATATGGCTTTCATTGTGATTTTGCAATCTGGACTTCAGTATATTCGCCATTGCTCATTTTCCTTGCAGTATTTGCAAGAGCGCTGTTTTGTACCATATGGTGGCCAGGATAGCGTTATTTATTGCCAGTCGCCATTCCACCAGTGGTGTAGGGGCCATCCCATCTGGCCGTCCTGTTGAGCACTGTCTCTACGAGCACATTTCCATGGTCCTTCACTGGGCCTAGTGCTGTGAGCTTAACTCCCCAAAGGGCCAAAAGTCCTCCTTTTCTTTTTTTTTGAAAGAAAATACCCCAGTCTATTCGTGGGGGCATCACATGCCGGAAAGCGGTATGCTACGTCCGGGAGACTTCTATTTGTGGGGGCGTCACATGCCGGAAAGCGGTATGCTACGTCCGGGAGACTCCTGGCGGTAGCCAGTTGTCACAGCAGACCAGTCCCTGTACCATTCCCAAGCACCCCTCTCTTGCTCCCTCCCTCCCTAAATTCAGATTGCCTCCTCTTTCCACTTAGTTGACAAAGGGTAGTTGAGGGGGTTCCACTCCCCCTGGACTCATCCGCCACCCTTCTGTTTTTGCCCCCCAGTTTAGCTGCTGCCACAGCAAAGGTGTGGTTTGTTTGTGTTTGCCAGCATCCACAGGCTGGCCCAGTGACTGTAAGATCATCTGCAAAGGGTATGTAATCGCAATCAGGTGGAATGGGAGCTCCAGGGTCTCAATCCTTTCTATTCCTGGGTTTTTCCTATTCATTGCAGCTAATGCTTCCATCACCAACACCAAGAGCACCAGCGCTATATAGGATCACCCTTCTTAGCTGACCTCTGCAGTCCAAATGGCCGAACGGTGGGGACAGATGTCCATAGACCATGACGTTGCTGGCCGCCGATCTCTTCATTATGGAGACCCATGCTCTAAATGACTCCCCGAAGTTCATTTTCTGACGACAGCTATCCATGAAATCCCAGTCCACTTGACCATTGGCTTTTTCAAAGTCTACGAACAGGATTGCTGCCTCTCTCTTTCTCTGCCATGCATACTTGATTGTTTCATTTACCAGCGGGCCATTATCTTGGAAGTTCCTTTGGGGCATGAACCCTGTCTGGCCCATGCATGGGAGCACTCTGTTTGTTAGTGCTTTAAACAGGATCGTATGCGGGAGAGAGAGCAGTATCATCGATCTGTAGTTGTGGATATCTACTTGTTTAATTTTGTTAGCTTTTTTGTACAAAAGAGTTGCCACCCCCAGACTCAGCAGTCCCCTGAAAGTCCACTCCTGGTCTGACTGCTTGGACATACGCCGATAGACCCCACCTGAGACTTCCTAATGTTGCAGCCAGCACTCCTTAGGCTAGCAA